CAAGTGATCCTTGGGTCGTCAACCAAAAAGTACACAGACATCTGAAGATGGTGTCACTGCTAATTCCCAACGTAATTGGAAAGCATCACATAAGACTAACGGGAAATTATCAAGCTGGTACCAAGTAAAGGCAAGGGGGATAACACGTGCCCAGCTGCAACCAATCAACTTATCGTATTGAAGGACGCTCACGCTGATTGGTTCATTCAGACCAGTTGCTTGTGTAAGCAACGTTTCGCTTTACTGGGTTGTTGACCCCTTGTTGAACACACACGGAACTTATAAAATGAAAGTTTCCCTTACGGAGAGGGTTCCTCTGTACGCATATCGAATGGACAGCTAATAAGAACCGGTACGTTGTGGTAACTTCTCGTAGAATTTACAGTGTCGCCCTGTCATTCTAGGGACAGTTTGGATGAATGGCCTAAAAGTCTCGTCGCTGAATTCTGGAGCAATGAAAACTCGAATTTGAAAAGCATATGAAAGGGAAACGAGGCGACTGTTCCTGAGTCAGAGCAAAGTTATCCATTCCAGGATTTCTCAAACTGAAACAGCTGGATCCCCTGAGGGGTCCAGGGGACAAACCGATTGACTAAGATATGCATGAGAACAGGAACAAGGCAGCGAAACCATTGAAGACCCCCTCTGTGAAGACTAGTGGAATGCCTTGTGAACAGGATCTGTAAATTCCTAGAAAATGAAAGGATCACAGTCAAAATGAAACAGTTTCCGCAGAACAGGTGCTGGACGGGGATAGTGGCTCACCTGTGAAGTATATGCAGCTCCTGCCACAAGAACAATAAACCCTGCGTGACCGAGTCGGCGATGAGGACTATAATCGGTTCCGGAAAACGCCCCACAGTGGGCAACAACGTGTCCAGCCCACCGGCATCCATATACTCCATACAAATACTGATTGTTTTGTCCACATAAAATGCACCATAATAGTCCACGATGAACTGAGATGAACATTCACAGAGAATCTGTGAGGTGAGAAACGGGACAGGCGGGAGGGGGATTTAGACAGAGCGACATCCTCACGGAAAAAGTGCTGTAGGTAAGTAGTACGGATGAGTTGGGGTGCAAGTTGAAAACGAGAGACTTCAGTTGTGATTGGCCAGAAAAGACAAGCGAACCATGAACGAGACATCGGGGAAAATGCACGAGAGTTCGCCCGTAGAAAACCAGCATGAGGGAAGCTGAGGGCTAACCCCGGCGGTACGTCTGAAAGACGAGGGCCAGGAATTCGAAATGAATTGGTTTTAAGAGGGTAGGTAGTAAACGAGA